CTTGGAGGCATCTTGAAAGTCATCTTGGCCGTCTGGAGGCCATTTTGACCCTTTCGGGCCTTCCTGGAGGACGTCTTGGAGGGCTCTTGGGCCGTCTTGGAGGCCTCTTGCGGGCCTCTGGGGCAGTCTAAGGCCATCTTGAGGCCATCTGGGGCCGTCTTGGGTGCATCTTGGGGCCATCTTCGCTGTCTTCGAGGCCTTCTTGGTCGTCTTGGAAGCATCTTGGATGCCATCTTGGCAGTCTTGGAGGCCATCTTCGGCGTCTTCGGGGCCTTCTTGGGCTGTCATGGGCTCTTGTTGCGGCCCTCTTGGGGGCCTCTTGGGCTGTCATGGGACCACCTTGAAGGCCTCTAGGGATGGGACCATCTTGAAGGCCTCTTAGGCGCTCTTGGGACGATGTTTGGGGCCTCTTGGGCCGTCTTGGGCCGTCGGAGAGCTGATAAGAAGAAAATGCCAATACCCTTCAACCACCTAAGGAAAATCAATGATGTTTGGCCTTTCGGGCCTTCTCTGGAGGACGTCTTGGGGCCTCTTGGGGGCCTCTTGGAGGCCTCTTGGGCAGTCTTACGCCATCTTGGAGCCATCTTGGGCCGTCTTGGAGCCATCTGGGACTATCGTTGGCGACTTGGAGGCCATCTTGGAGGCCATCTTGGGCCAACGTGACCATTCTAGAGGCCATCTTGAGCCGTCTTGGAGAATTTTTTGGTGGACGTTGGGGGTGGTTTATGCTGCCTTGTGCGGCCTTTCGGGTGGCCGGCGGGACGGGCCGAAGCCCCAGGGAGTTTTTCTAAAAGAACCAAAATCGAAAGGGTCTAGCACGCCGGGCACCCCTGTGGCAAGCCACAGGGGGCGGCGGATCGAAGACGCCTACGGCGAATCACCGCCGCCCCCTGCTCCTTTGGAAGCGCATATGTGGCCGACAGCTGGGCCAGAGCTCGGCCCAGCTATCGGGCCAGTTGTTCCCCGAGTCGGTTTGGAAAGACTTCGGGGAACGCATGGGGGAGCAAGAAGAGGAGGAGGGGGAGGGGGAGGAAGGAAGAGGGTGAGGAAGGAAGAGGAGGAGGAGGAGGAGGAGGAGGCCTCTTGGGGGCCTCTTGGTGGGTTTTGGGGTGCCTTTGGGGCTTCTCGGGGGCCTCTTTGGCCCTTTTAGGGCGTTCCTGGCTTGTCTGACGCTGTCCGAAGCCGTCTTGGGGGCCTATCTGGGTCGTCTTGGGGCCCTCTTGGGGCATATTAGAGGTTCTTAGAGGCCATTTTGGGCGTCTTGCAGGCCTCTTGGGCTGTTTTGGGGCCCTCTAAGGGCCGTCTTGGGAGCCTTTGCGGCCTCATGGGGCTACTTGGAGGCCTATCTTGGGGGCCTCTTGCGCCGTCTTGAGCCGTCGGAATGCCGAGAGGAAGCACATGCCAAAATCGTCCAACAACCTATGGAAAATCAATGATTTGGGCCTCTTCGTGCCCTCCTGGAAGACCTCCTGGGCGCCTTTTGGGCCGTCTTGGAGGCCTCTTGGGGGCCTCTTGGGCCATCTTGGGCCATCTTAGGCAGTCTTCGGTGCATCTTGGGCCGTCTTGGAGGCATCTTGGGGCCATCTTAGCCGTTTTGGAGGCCATCATGGGTGTCTTGGAGGCCTCTTGGCCCGTCTTGGGGCCGTCTTGGGGGCCTCTGGAGCCGTCATGGGGCCATGGGCTATCTTGGAGGCCTCGTGGGCGATCTTGGGGGCTTCTTGGCCCGTCTTGAGCCGTCGGAATGCCGAAAAGAAGCAAATGCCCAAATCCTTCAAACACCTATTGACAATCAATGATGTTGGCCTCTTCGGGCCCTCCTGGAGGACTTCTTGGAAGCCTCTTGGGGGCCCTTTGGGCCGTCTTAGGCCACCTTGAGGCCATCTCAGGACGTCTAGGGTGCACCTTGGGCAATGTTGGAGGCATGTTGGGGCCATCTTAGCCGTCTTGGAGGCATCTTGGGCGTCTTGGAGGCCTCTTGGGCCATCTTTGGGCCCTCTTGGGGGGGCATCTTGGAGGCCTCTTGGGCAGTCATTGGGCCATCTTGGAAGCCCTCTTGGGCGATGTTGGGGCGATCTTAGGGGCGCCTTGGGCCGTCGGAAGGCCGAACTGGCGAACATGCCAAAATCCTTCAACAACCTATCGAAAATCAATGATTTTGGCCTCTTCGGGCCCTCCTTGAGGACCTCTTGGAGGCCTCTTGGGCTGTCTTGGAGACCTCATAAGGGGGCTCTTGGGCCATCTTGAGGCCATCTTAGGCCGTCTTGGGTGCATATTGGGCCGTCTTGGAGGCATTTTGGGGCCATCTTAGCCGTCTTGGAGGCATCTTGGAGACCATCTTGGGCCATTTTGAGCGAAACATTTGGGGATTGAGGTCCTGGGCAATCTTTCCGGGTGGCCGGCGGGACGGGCCGAATCCAGACGCCTACGGCTAATCACCGCCACCCCTTGCCGTCTTGGAAGCGCCTATGTGGCCGAACGTTGTGGCCAGAGGCCTGCCAAGCTATCGGACCATGTGTTCCCCGAATCGGTTTGGAAAGTGTTCGGGGAACACGGTGGGGGAGGCTGGGCCGACTTGGGGCTTTCTTGGGGTGCTCCAGGGCCGTCTTGGAGGCCATCTTGAGCGTCCTGGAGGCCTCTTGGGCCGTCTTGGGGGGCCTCTTGGGGCCGTCTTGGGGGCCTCTTGGGCCGTTCTGGGGTCATGCTGGAGACCTCTTGGGCGATCTTTGCGGGCTCTTGGGCCGTCTCGGGCCGTCGGAAGGCCGAAAAACGCAAATACCACAATTCTTCAAACATTCATGGGAAATCAATGATGTTGGCCTTTTCGGGCCTTCCTGGAGGCCCTCTTGAAGTCCTCTTGGACCGTCTTGGGCCATATTAGGGCCATCTTCAGCCGTCTTGGTGGGCTCCTGGCGTCTGACGCCGTCGGAAGCCGTTTGGGGCGCCTTTCTGGGCCGACTTGGGCCCTTGGAATGCTCCAGGGCCGTCTTGGAGGCCATCTTGGGCATCTTAAAAGCCTCCTGGGCAGTCTTGGGGGCCTCTTGTGGCCGTCTTGGGGGCCTCTTGGGCCGTCATGGGGCGATCTTGGGGGCTTGTTGTGCCGTTCTTTGGGTGATCTTTGGGGGCTCTTGGGCCGTCTCGAGCCGTATGTCAAAATCCTTCAAAAACATATGGAAAATCAATGCGTTGGGCATTTTTCTGGCTTTCCTGGAGGCCCTCTTGGAGGCCTCTTGGGCCTTCTTGGGCCAGCTTCGAGCCAACTTCGGCCATCTTGGTGCGTTCCTGGCCCGTCTGACTCCGTCGGGAGCAGTCTTTGGGTCCTCTCTGAATCGGCTTGGGGCCGTCTGGGGGCGCTTCGGGGACGTCTTGGAGGCCATCATGGGCGTCTTGGAGGCCTCTTGGCCCGTCTTGGGGCCCTCATGGGGCCGTCTTGGGGGCCTCTGGAGGCGTCATGGGGCCATCTCGGAGACCTCGTGGTTGATCTTGGGTCGATCTTGGGGGCCTCTTGGGCCGGCTTGAGCCGTCAGAAGGCCGAAAAGAAGCAGATGCCAAATCCTTCAAAACCCAACAGAAAATCAATGATGTTGGCCTCTTCGGGCCCTCCTTCAGGACCTCTTGGAGGCCTCTTGGGTCGTCTTGGGCCGTCTTGGAGGCCTCTTGGGCGAACGTGGAGGTATCTAAGACTCTCTTGGCCCATCTTGGAGGCCGTCTTGGACCATCTTGGGCGGACCTGGAGGCCATCTTGGAGGCCATCTTGGGCCAACGTGGCCATCTTGGAGGCCATCTTGGGCCATCTTGGACGATTTTTTTCCGGATTGAGGTCCTTGGCTTTTTTGGATAAAGAACCAAAACCAAAACCGAAAGGGTTCAGCACGCCAGGCACCCCTGTGATGAATCAACTGGGGGCGGCGGATACTGATGGCCTTCAGCCCCTCCCGCCACTGCGCCTGGTTTGTGGGGGAGAGGCCACTCGGCTGGCTCATGGGGTCTCGCGAGAGGCCTCTCGGGGGCGCTTCGGAGGCACAAATGCTGCCAGCACACCTCCGAGGGGTAACTCGAGGGTACACTGCGCGACGGACGTAGCCTGCCATCTGCTCCCGCAAGTCGGCGGCGCGCCCCGGGGAAGTGAGAGAGGCCTCTCTGAAGGCGGCGGAGCTTCTCAGAAGGCCTCGCGCCCTCCGAGAAACCGCATGTGGCTTCGGAGACTGCTTTGAGAAGCTTCTCAGAAGGCTGGAGGCCAATCTGCGTCTTCTGAGACCCCCGTCCGAATTGCCTACGAGCTCAGGCAGCACTCACTGGGCACGGGAGCACATCGCATGGACGGATCCCCGTACATCCCCAGGGCATCGATTTGAGCAAGTATCCCACCAAGGTCGGGACGGTCGGCAAGGACACGGTTCCGCACGGACACCGATATGTGCCACCGTGAGATCTTGCACAAGGGCCTCGGTATTTGCCGTCACCAGTTCATGTGTGTGGGGGCGAATTTGCCAGGCAGGCCTCTTCTTTCGTTTCATGCCCTTGATTTTTCCTACTCCTCCGTACATCTGTCCTTCTATTCCTCCTCCTGCTCCTCGTCCACCATCCTCTGCTGCCGCGTCATGTCCATCCCTTCCTCCACTATAGTATCCTTTTTCACGATTTGCATCTCTATTCGTCGCGCCCGCTCTTTCCCCCCCCTCTTTCCAGGCCCCCATGCTCTCCAATTCTCTTATTACTGATCCTCTTCCTACCTCTCCCCCCTCGTCTCATCCTCCGCCTCACGCCCTCTTCTCCCCCCTCCCCGTTCCCCCTCTCCTCCCCTCCGACGACGACGCTGATGACCGCGTCGACTATGACGACTATTACGACGACGACGACGACGACGACGACGACGTTGACGGCGGCGACGGCGACGGCGACTGCGACTGCGGCGTTGACATTGGCAGCGGTAGCGGCGACGACGACGAGGACGACATTGACGACGTCGCCCTCGAGGGGAGGCCTTGGCCGTGCTCGGGGGCATGCGCGGGCGCGGGCTCGAGCTGTCGGCAGGGCCCCTGGCCCGCCGGGGAGTGCTCCCCGAGCCGAGCGGAGAGGGAGGGGAAGAAGAAAAGGCAGCGTCAGTGATCAGTGGGGGACCAGCTCGAGGGGGGGGACCAGGGAAACGAATAATGACATGAATATAACAACTCGGAGGTCCGCGCGGACCTCCGAGTTTTTATGTTCATGCCATTCTTCGCTCCCCTAGGGATCGGCGGCGAGCGAGGAGGGGAAATAAAAAGGAGAAGGCCGTCTCAGAAGGCGGCGGGACTGCTTAAAAGCCCTCGCGCCGTCTGAGAAGTTGTCTGTTGTGTCTTCGGGGAAGGCTCAGAAAACTTCTCAGAGGGCATGGGGACTTCCGAGCCTTCTGAGAAGGCCCGCCCCTCGCTCGCCGCTGATCAGTGGGGGGCGGGGGGGGGAACATCGTTCTGGAATCGGCGATACATCGCCGACAGATCGGCGATGTGCCCCCGTCGGCGGAGCCGCGCGTTCTTGGGCGGGGCGGGCCCCTAGCGGCGATGAATGGGCGATTCGGGGTCGATGCGTCCCACTCTAAGCCGATCCTGGTCTGACGTTGCCCCTGAGGGGCGTGCGGGGCACTACAGCATCGAGGGTTCGCGGGAAGGGTTTATTCGATTTGGGTTTGTGGTTGGCCGTTCCCGGACGACAAGTTCGCTGGTGTTGACCCGGGTGACCTTGGGATTGGTTTGACCGTTTGAGGGACGAGGTTAGAAGTCGGGGCGTGCATCGAGGTTGGAGGTCCGAGGGAGTTCCCCAAGCTGGGCGGATGGAGGAGGGGAGGGTGGACATTAAACATCAACATGTGTTAAGCATTCGCGTGGCCATGGACGCCACCTTGACGGCACCTCGGCGCTGCTCTTGGCACGCTCCGCGCACCAGGGCAGGGGGGTCCAGCGCCGATCCAAGAAATTCTGGACGTTTCGCGTTTCCCCACCAGCGATCAGTGGCTTTGTGGGACTTGCGTGGGTATACACGGTCTCGTTCCGCCTGTGCTCTCCGTCTCTTTGGACTGCACTGTGACACTGTGTTGTGCACACGCCGCGTTTCGACGGGAGCGTGCATCAGGTGCCCTTCCACCCGTTGGGTCTGGGCCGATACGTCTTGGTGTCGTAGTCTTCTCGGATCATGGATACACCTTGATGTCTCTGACGCCGCGGCTCGCTGCCGCCGTCGGGATCCTCGTTGGACTTACCACCCCGACCTCTGTGCTTCCCGACAGGCTGGGGCTGGCGTCCTCGGTCGTTCCCTTGTCCGCCTTTGGACGTTGGAACGTTTTCGCGCCATGTTGGCTGCGCTAGGTTGTCTCGGTGCCTACCTCAGGCCTGTTGGACGCACCTGCATGCCCGTTCAGGGGCTGTCATGGCACCTGGATTGCATCGTCTTCGCCTCCCTGGACGCTGTCGTGAGCCGCCTGATCCGCGGCCCTGCGCGCGTTAGGTAATTTAGTCGCGTCCGCGGCCCGTTCGCGACCTCCCGCCGCTGGCGCTTCCGCCTGCGGCTGTTAAAAAAAGTTCCCCCACCGGCCCATCCAGAAATTCAGAAACGATCGCCAGGCGATTTGCTTTGATCAGGAAAGTGTAGAAGCATGCAGTGGAACAGCCGCTTTGAAAACGTGTCGGGGGCGCAGAAACAGCGGGAATATTTGCCGAATGATTTATCAGATGTTGCCATGCCACGGCGGCTCCATTGAGTTCTCCTGGGGGCCTTCTTGGAGTCCCCGTGGGGCCTAATTAATTCACTTCGTTGTCCTTCTTGGGGCTCTTGTGTGGGGTATTGGAGCCCTCTTGGAGCTCTTTCGGGGCGTCTGGAAGGCCCGGTGGGGCAATCTTAGGCTCCGCTGTTCACAACGAGGGGGGGCCCTCAGTTCAGACCCCTCGCCCCCCTTCGGAGGCCGAACCAGTTCCCATTGGAGCCCTCTTGAGGCGCTCTGGAGGCGCTCTTGGGCGCTCGTGAGGTCGTCATGGCGCCCTCGTGGGCTCCTCTCGGGGCTCTCCTGGGCGATCATGTGGCCTCAACAGCCGATCGGAAGCCAAAAGACGAGAAGGCAAACACATGGATTATCATCAGGGTTTGAAGGAGGTTGGCCTTTGGAGGGTGCCTCGGAAGGCTCGGAGGGCACTTATAACCATCTTGAAGCGGTCCTGGTGCCTCCTGGAGGTATGTCGGAAGCCATCTTGAGGTGTCTTGAGCCATCTTGGAGGCAATCTTGCAGAATTTGGGCGCTGTTGAAGCCATTTTGGACCGAACAGGGTTCTCTGTCACCTCCCCCCGTCCAGGCCCAGGGTCGGGTAGGGGGAGGGACCAAGCTACCCACAAGCAACAAGCCGTTTCGCTCATTCCCACACGCCCTCCCAACACAGAAGCAGCACCCGAGTCTTAGTTTGGACAGGTGCCGCCATCGGGAGCCAATGCAGACGCTAGCCAGATGCGCCAAGCCCGCCTGGTGCGCCGCACATGCCAGCTGCGCAGCGCGCACCAGGTGCGCCACATTGGGCAATAGATCGGCCCTTTCCACCGTCCCTGTCAAAAACCAATGCGGGTTTGATGTGAGCGGGTGCGCGCCCGCGATCGTTTGGGATTGTTTTCTTGAGAGGGATGGGCCTGCGCGCAGCAGGCGTTATGCCGCCCCCCTCCCCCCGCCGTCCTTGGTCAGAAACCAATGCAGTATGAGCGCGAGGCGTCCGCGTATAATCTAGAATTGTTGACGCTTCGCGAATCCCCACCAGAGTTCATCGATCACCTCGCCTGTGCTACGCCGCAGGGCGTATTTTGAATTCTTGGCATTTTGTCAGTCTGCACGTCCGCGCTTCCCTGGGTGCCATCAGCCAGTCAGCCCAGCCGCCGCCTTGTGAGCTGGCCCGGCCGGCATGTCCCGCGCCCTGTAGCTAATTATCTGCACGCTGCTCGAGCTTAATTCGGCTCGTTTCCGCGCCCCGGACAGCCTCTGACTCCGCCTGCGCTTTCGCTCGTGGACGCGACCGAAAAAGAATCCCCACCAGCCCATCCAGAAACGATGCCCAGAGGAATTGCCTCGATCAGGGAAGCGGGCAGCACACGGAGGAAATGTCACCCAGTGGAGGCTTCTTGGAGCGTTTTGGGGGCCTTTTGGTGGTCCCGGACGTCTCTCAGAGCGTCTTGGGTGCCTCGGAGAGTTTCGTGGGGCCTCTCGGGGGTCTCTTGGGAGCCTCTTGAAGGCCTCTTGGGCGCCTGTTGGGACTCCTGGGGCCTCCTGGACGCCTCTTGGGGCCCTCTTGAATCGCTCTTGGTAGCTATGGGAGCGCTCTTGGAGCCCTCTTGGGCCATCTTGGAGCCATCTTGAGGCCTCGGCGAGAAAGCCAAAAACACTGATTCTCCAAAGGTTTTGGAAGGATGTTGGCCTCTTCGGGGCCACCTGCGGGAGCTCTTTGGCCACTTGGAGCCGTCTTGGAGCGGTCTTGGGGCCTCTTGGAGCATCGTGGGCGCCATCTTGAGGCATCTTGGGATCTTGAGCCATCTTGGAGGTCATCTTTGGCTCTCCCAGGCGCTCCTGGAGTCATCTGAAGCAGTGCCCCCCCCCCAGGAGGCCAAAAAGTGGCCAACACCTTAGTAAAATCAGCGATTTGGGCATTGTCGCCGAGGCCTCTCGAAGCGTCTTGGGTGCCTCTGGGGCCTCCGGGGGGCCTCTTGGGGCTTCCTGACCACCTCTTGGGGCCCTCTTGGGGCTCCCTTGGGAGCCTTGGGAGCGCGGCCATCTCGGAGGAGATCGGTCAAAGAAGGGGGGGGGGTACGGATTGGAGCCGCCCCCTCAGAAGGCCAAAATGGGGCCAGAAACAGAGTAAAATCAATGATTTTGGCGTCCTCGCCGAGGCCGTTTTGGACGCCCTGACGACTCGCGACCCCCCCTCCAGGTCCATGGGGAGGGGGTAGGGGGAGGGGTAAACCCCTCCCCGAATGGGAAGAGGGGTTGAAGAGGAAACTCTCTAAACCACCGACGCCCAGGGGGGCTGGTGGGATTCGGTGCAATGTGCATGTTGTATTGATTTGTGTTTGTGCAAGGGATGGCTGGGGGGTATTGGCGTTGCACACAGCAGGCGATATGCTGCCCCCCATCCAACCGTCCCTGTCAACAACCAAGGCAAAGTGATCGCGGGGCGTCCGCGCACGACCCAGATTTGATGCAACGTGAATTTGATTCTGTGTTGCAAAGGATGGTGGAGGGGTGTTGACCTGCGAGCAATAAGCAACATGCCGATACCCACGCCGTCTCCGTAACAAAAACTTATGTAAAGTGGTCGTTGGGCGGCCGCGGTTGCTACAGATTTGGGGCAAAGGGCATGTGTTCATTATTTCTGACAGGGATGGTAAAGGAGGGGTGCGCATGGGTCCGGGTTCAGGCAACAGTGAGAAACCCTTATCCCGAGCAAGGGAGGGAAAGATTTGAGCAGAGGGCGGAAAACAATCCGGTAGACCACCGTCGCCCAGAGGTCTGGTGGGATTCGAGCCCGCGGACCTCCGACAGCTTATTTTTACGTATGTAGGTTTTCTGTTCGATCGGAAGAGGTTCAAGGTCCAAGGGGGGATCGAGGTTCAAGGTATTTGGGTTTGGCGGGGCTGTTCTGGGCTCCCTGGGGCGCGCGCGTGGTGACAGCTGGACAGCCTCGGAATTCTGGCCAGAACGCCCCCCCATGTCACGTCGAAGGGTCGACCTTGACGGAGGACGACTCAGGCTTCCGACGTCTTGAAAACAGGAGTAGCAGCCCCGTGTTTGGGCCTCCAGTGGCCATCGAAAGATTGCTCGGCATGAGATCGGTAGGATCGAAATGAGTACGGAAAGAATGGGTACGATGCCCAACAGCAGTTCCTGCCCATTCTGAACAGGAATCGCACCCCACGCCGCCGCGGACGTTGTTCTTTGAAGACGAGGCCGCCTGCCCAGCAGCGGCCTCTGATGGTTTTGGACAACATTTGTTGTTGGGCAGAGTACCCTTTTTTTCCGTACCCATTCTGGGCGTCAAAATGAGAAGTTGGAATTGTTGAAAGGGGTCAGAAGTTCTGGCGGCCCGAGGGAGAGTACAGGGCGTCGAGGTCCAGCATCGATTTTTGTGTTGGGGGAGTTGCCGTATATCTTGGGGCATGCCTCGGGGGACCGCCAGGGACTTCCGAGACCACGGGCGCCCGGAAACCCTCATGGGCACCGTGCGGGAGCGATAGGCTCAGGGGGGATGCACCCGCCCCAAATCGCCGATGGATCGCCGATAGAGTCCCGGTAGCCCAACCCGCCCAGGACCATGCGGATTCGCCATCGCGGGTCCATCGCTGATCTATCGGCGATGTATCGTTGATTCCAGCTCGATGTTTCCCCTCAGAGCTGGTCCCCCAAAACGTTCCCCCTCAGAGGAAGAGCAGGAAGCGGTGTGCCTTACGACGTACTCGGATTATGGTCGGTCGTCGCATTATTTGCCCTATGTGTAACTTTTCCACCTGCCCGTTCTCCTCATTGACGGTTCGACGGAAAACAGAAGTTGCGACCAGATCGACCTTCGGAGGTCTGCGCGGGTTTCTTGGATCCGCGCTGGACCTCCTTGCCGTGGCGCGACGCGCGCCAGGGGTGTCGCCAGAGGCGCCGCTCGTGGGAGCCGACCCGAGAGTTCCGCGAGGGCCTCCGAAAGCTTCTGCTCATGCCGCTCGTCGGCTCTTCTATCCTCCCCCTCCCCCTCCCCTGTCTCCCTTTTCCTCCTCGTGGCTGAGAGGGCCGATCGTGGCCGGCCAGTCGGTTGCCAAGGTGGTGGCGCACAGCAGCGCGGCAACGGCGTGCGCGGGCGCGTCGGCGTGGCCCGCAGCGCTGCTGGTGCCACCCCGCCCAGGGAGCGGCTCAGGCTCGAGGAAGGCCGGCTGCAGTCAAGACGTGAAAGTAGGGACCGTTTGGGGCTCAGGAGGGTCTCGGATTTTCGGGCCGGTCCGTCGACGTCTGTGGTGGAGCTTGTGTGTGGCCCCGGCCCCCCGTGGGCAAGGGCGCCCTCGAGGGCGCGCAGTTATTCGCGCTTCGCGGTTCGGCTCCGATTCCTCATCCTCCTCTCCTCCCCTGGGAGGCGGCGCGAGAGCGCGAAGTTGGGAGCCCTTGGTGGGTGGCCAGCGAAGACCCTTCGTTCCTCACTACGCGTCCTTTATGGTAGCACGATGGCTGCATACCAGGACCCACTGCTCGAGGATCGAAGTTGGAGGCCCGGGGGTCTCCGGGGGCCTCCGGGGGGCTCGTCGCCACGGCTGGACATGCCTCCAGATGCTGGTCCTTCGCGCCCCAGGACGGGTCCGGGGGTCGACTCCTGAGATCCTGTGTTCGGGTGTTGCCAGAAGTGCCCCTGGCCCAGGGTGCCCCGGGTGCCCCCAGCATTTCCTTGGAGGCCCCCACGGCCTCCAGAGCACCCCATCACGAGGTCCAGAGGGCCCCAGGGGCTCCGAACTTGAGCGAAAAGCTGGGGGCGCCTTGGGCCGGGGGCACCTCTCGCGACATCCGAACTCTCGGATCGGCATGCCCGCCCCGCACCTCCGCTCCTGCCTGGCGGCGCCTCTGGCGCGGCCCCGGGCCTTGCAAGCTCCTCGTCCTGGGGAGGGGGCGAAGGGCGGGGCGTCTTGTGCCGACAAACGAAGCCCGCACGGACATCCGTCAGTGTCTGTGTATATCCTTTATTTTGTCTGACTGCGTATCCTTCCCAGACCTCCAGAAGTCGCGGAGAAATCACAACGACTCCCGTTTGTCATTGCGGTCCAGGTGGTAAGACCGGGATCCGGAGCCCGCCAGACACGTGCCCGGCGAAGGGTATTTATCGGCTAACGGGAGCCGTTGGGGCCTACATCGTGAACACCCACTGCTGCCAGGTAGTGCGTGGTGGCCGAGGCCCACGGAATGGACACTGAGGCTCCAGGCCGAGACCCGTGCAGGGGTTGGGGACGTTTGGGGCCAGGGCTCGCTCCTTTCCGCGGGCGCGCGCGAGGCGCCCACCTTGAATCTTATAGCCCTCAAAGCTTATCCTCCCACCTCCTCATCTCTCCCCCCTTCCCCAGCACCCTCCTCGCCTCCCCCCTCTTCCTCTTCGCTCCCCGGCCCCTCCCCATAAAGAGGAAAACAGAAATAAGCGACTGAGCAACAGTCGAGGATCCAAGCCTGCTTCAAAATTGTTGATGTGAAGCTTGCGTTCTCACTTTGGAATCTCTCAATCATCGGCCCGCCATTTGAACATCTAAAGAAGTCTGGCTACCAGCAGTAGAGGGGAACGCCAGGATATACACTACATCCACGTGCGATGCACATTCATGTCGTCATAGGTACTATACGAGGATGTTAACGTCTTGCCCCCAGCATGCTGAGGTAGATGCTCGAGGTGTGGTTGCCGTTTGCGCGGGGGCTCCATCGGCTGACAGCGTGCGAGGCAGTCACAATTTTTTGTGCAGATGGATGGGAGGAAAGGGCCGTTTGGGGCTCGGGTAAACCAAGCTCAAATAGCCCTCCGTACAATTTGGGCGCTGAAGGAGGAACCCTTCGGGAAAAAAGGGCCTCGTTCCCTATGTAGGGTTCCTTAAGTCAACGCCCCGACGGTAGGTTCCCAGTATTTCGCTTTCGACAATTCGTTCGGTTTCGTTTGCAGCCCCCGATGCTCGTCATAAGCCCGTGTGGTTCAAGACGGTGCCTGGTGCACGCGCGGGTGGACGCGATCCGTTCGCGCGCCTCGCGCGGGCAATCTTGCAGCTCGAGGGAACAGGAGGAACCCTCGGAGTTTCGATGTTCTCCTCCTCTTGCTCCTCCTCCTCCTGCTCCTCCTCCTCTTCCTCCTCCTCCGTCTCCTGCTCCAGCTCTTCTTCCTCCTCCCCCTCCAGGCCCAAGGGGGTAAGGCTGGCGCGGGTCAGGCAGCAAAAACTCGGGCAACCGCGGCATGTGCGGGTATGCGTCCTTCCCGCCGCAGTCCCCCAGCCAACGGGGGACGAGGTTGTCCCGGTGGAACCCTCGGTTGTGGTCACGGACGTGGCAATGGGTATCGTGGCAAACGCGACGTCCTGGGTTTGCAGCCGCTTGTTGCCGCGACCACAAGAAACCGCCTTGCCCCGAAGGCCGCAATCAGTGAGAGCCGAACAAAAAGCCCTCGACGTCCCTGCTGCCAGGGCGTCGCCCAGAATGACGTTCAGGCGGGCGCGCCGCCGCCGGGGGGGGCCAAGTGGAGTCCCGCCGTGCGTCCGAAGGCCCAGAGCGCAAGGATAATTGTCACTCATGCAGGTGCTTTGGGCGTTGCCCCAACCTCCCGCCCGATGGCACGCAGAATGGCAATGGCGTCGCCATCGAGGCTGACTCGAGGACCGCGTGGCGGTCCGCATCGTGAAGTTGCATGGCAGAGTTCTCTGATGTCTCCACTGACGGACCCAATGCCCAGCGTTTCGCCCCCTGCTTCGAGGCAGAATTTTTGGGGCCGCTAGCGAGTCGGACAGGGCGCTGCTTCACGAGTCCTTCGCTAGCGAGCCTTCGACGTTGGGCGAGCCGTCGCCCGCTATTCACTTCTGCGCGCCGGGCGTCGTGCCTGAGAACTGCGATGTGGACGTCGCCATATCCGGCGCCGCGGCAGTTCTGCGCGTCGGCGAGCGGAGGTACTCCAATGAGCCGTTCAAGCCGCGGTCGCCCAGCGGAGATCCCGCGCGAGGCAGGCCGCGATGCCCAGCCGGCCAGGAGGGCGCCGACGAGGGCCGAATCGCGGATTTGGAGGGGGCGCGGCTGTCGGCGCGGGCACTCCTGGGCCTGGGGTATGCGACGACGCGCGGGCAGCGCCCCCATGCGAGGAGCGCCCTGACTTTTGGGCTTGCCTGAGCACGCGGCGCGCTCTGCTGCTGCGGGCGCGAGATGGTGCCGACAGCGGAGGTTCGCGCGGCCAGTCTCGTCGAGAGCGCGCTGGCCGGCGTCGCAGGCGGGCGCGCCGGCCCGGCCGCCCGCCGAGGCGCGAGGCCCGCGCCGCAGAGAACAAGCGGGGCCGCCAGGGCAGGTCTCAGAGCTCCGGGGTTCGGCGGGCGCCGCATCTCAGGGGCGCCGCCAGTTGCTCGCCCGCGCCGACGGCTCAACGCCGCTCTAGTGCCGAGAACAGCGGCGGGCTCTGGGGCCGAGGAGAGCGGCGGGATGGAAATCCGAGTTGCGCGCCCGAGCAAGGCTTCGCGGCTGGAGCGCTAGCGCCGCTGTTTGATTTCGCCCGCGCCTCAGCGCGCGACCGCGGCAGCATCATTCCCGAGAAGAAGCCGCCGAGCCTCGAGCGCGCCCCCGTGGAGATGGAGATGCACCTTGGCGAGCGCGGCCTCGCCGCGGGCCCCTGGCTTTTTGGCGCGCGCATGCTCGCGGACGCCCTCGCCCCGTCCACGCGCGGCTCACCCAGCGCCCTCGACTTTCAAGAGCTGGGGGTGCTTGCGAAGGCGGTCGATTGCGTCGTCGACTGCGACGCGAGGGGGCCAGAAACAGCGCAGGACAGGAGGGGCACTCGGCCCCCGCCGACGCGCCCGAAGACAGGGGGGGGGCCAACCGCGGCGGAGATGGAGAAGGAGTCACCGGGTCTCGACGAGCCAGCGGACGCGGCGTCCGAAACGCTCGCGCCGCGGGCTCGCGGTTCGGGGTCTCAGTCAATGGCGGGCGCCAGCGCGGAGGCCGCGCAGACCGCCGCGGCGGCTGCTTCGCGGGCCAGCTCCGACGGGCACCGCGGGGGGCTCGCTGGGGCGGAGCACGCGCGGAGAGGCGCATCACCTTCAGGGGGGCCCCCCGCGGGCGTCCGCATGGGGCGCCCGAGGCGTGGCGCCCCCCCCCGGCGACGGGCGATTCGACCTTCGCGGGGAGCGGGCTCAGTGCGAGCCTGCCATCTCGGCGAGGGTTTTGCGGGGCGTGGACGAGCGGGCCCGCCCTCGCGAGCGCTCGCCAAGCGAGGAGGGCCCCCCCGACGAGCACTCAGGCCAGGACAAGGCATGGACACCCATCGGCGCGAGCAGGGGAGAGGGTCGCAGGGCCTCAGGGGCGCAATCCAGCACCTCGAGATCCGCCCATTTCCCCGCCATGTGCGCGAGCTTTGACAAGGCTCGCAGAGCTATCGCCTTGCCCCCTCACGCGGGGCGCAGCCCGGGCCCCGCCGCGCCAGCGGTGGCCTACCTCCTCGGCACACGGCCCCGGCGACTATCGAGGCCTGGCAGTCTGGCTTCGCTGCGTCTGGCGGGCGCCCCCGCGCGGCCCCCCGGCGCGGCTCGGGGCCAGGCGCTTCAGCCGCGCCCCGCCCCTGCGGGGCCAGGCGCCGTGGGCGCCTTTGAGCGCGCCCGCTCATCAGCTTCTCTTCGAGGGCACTGCCCCCGCCCCTGGTCGCGAGAGGCCCGATATGGAAGAAGCGCCGCCAGCGCACTGAGCGCCCCGGCTGCTGGTCGTGTCAGCTGGCCCAGAGGACCGGCGCGCTGCCATGACGGCGTGGCGTTGCGCGCCCAGGGCGGGCAACCAGATGATAGTATTTCCAGCCCAAAGAATCCGCGGCGACCGTCTTCGCCCGCCCTTTTTCGCACCGGCAACTTCCATTGGTCTTGCCTGCCTTTAACAGGGGTTTGGTCTGCCAGGGCAAGCCGATGATCGTCGTCGTCGTCGTCATCATCATCATCATCGTCATCATCAGCGTGATGATGATGATGGTGATGCTGATGTTGCTGATGATGATGATGATGCTGATGATGATGATGATGCTGATGATGATGATAATGATGAAAACGGAATGATTAAAATGATGTTGCTGATATTGTTGCCGATGATGTTGATGACAACACGGCCCCAAGAGCGCCCAAGAGCGCCCCAAGAGGGAC